ACACGTCACCCCTAATCGGGTTTAATAACATTCGTAGTTCGAAGGCTGGCCAATCACAGTCATTCCATTCTTCAGAGGAATAGCTGTGATTGGTCAGTTTCACAACTACGGATGTTATTAAACCCGATTAAGGGTGCCGTGTAACAGAACTCAGAGATGCGACTTATGCCGAGTACGACGGATCAAAATTCATAACGAAAGGAGGAGAGCGAAACGCTTTAATGTAAAACAATACAAAACGAAAAAAGTAATTAAAAATTTGAAACAACAAAACGATTGCATGAGAAACTATGTAAGTATTATAAAACCATGCGATTAAAATATCACAATAAGTTTTTATTTTATTATAACGTTTCGATTATATTTCAAATTATAGATTGTAATAATCCGCTTTCGCGAGGCGGAGACGGACAACTCGGTCAGGATCCGGGGCTCGTGAAAGGGTATCGAGAGACGAACGAAAAGTGAAGTTAGATAGAATATAATTTATTGCTTGTGGTGTATTTGTACAGCGTGAGTGTTTTTAGTATAGGCGGTGTGTGTGAGCGTGTATAGGTGTGCGTGCGAGACGATTGACGAGTGAGTGAGTTCGCAAATGTATAATAAGACGTAGCCGTGCGCAAGAGTATCGAATGCAATATAGTTATGTATGCACGAGCGAATGATATCAGCGGGTGAGTGCGTGACGGTATACAGCGGTATACGTGAGGCGGTAGCCTATACGGCGGTGCGGCGGTGTGCGGCGTATAAGTTAATATAAACGAGTGAATACGTGCGTGTGTATGGGTGAATATATAATGCAAGCGGATGTATGTGTGAATATATAATGCAAGCGGATGTATGTGTGAAACGATAATATTGTACAAACGTATGTGTGTACGAGGCAGAATGTACAGCGGTACGGTCGTGTCGGGTGCGATGCATCTAATGCAACGCACGTATGCGCGGCGCGGTTCGTGATTTCGGCTGTTCGATCGCAGATCGATTTCGGATCGTGTGCCGTGATTTCGTCAGATGCCGCTAAGTACTGGGCGGTAATTTCGGTCGTGCCGGTGGGCGGTCCTTTGACGCGTATGTATCGATGTCGTACGTCGATCGGTGTCGCGACAGGGATGTGGATCATCCCTCGGCGCGGGACTTAGCGCGCCGTACCAATGGCGAGTCCGGATGACTAAATGGCGGTCGCGGAAGTACGAGATAGGCGCGTATAGCGCGTTATATATTAATTCGGGATGGTCTTCCCCGCGGAATTTGGGAGTGCAACGGCCGACGAGAACACCCGTCGATGGCAGGGAACTCCCTACCACTGGAAGATCGCCGTTGCACGCAGGTGATCGGATTTCTACGAGGTGCCAAGCACTCTCGGCGGGGACGAGTACGCCCGTTCCCGTTTTCCTCTCTTTTAAGGTTTCGGACGGATTGCTCTCGGAGATGCCGCAAACTCTCGGCGGAGGCTGGGGACTCCCAACCCCGTTTTTCTTTCTCTCTGAGCGTTCTAGGATCTAGGCGGTTTTCCAGGCGTCTTACTGACTCTGGCGGTGCGGAAGATCTGGTCTCGATAATCAAAACCGCGCTCTATTTATACCGGTCTTCGGCGCGCGCGCTTGCGTAATTCGCCTATTGTCTTAACGGTATCTTGTTTATCGGTGAAACGGCGCGCGCGACTCGGGTATGTTCGGTAACGGTCGGGGCGGTTACGAGTGCGGCGACGGTTCTCGGTGTTCGCGCGCCTTCCAGCGGTTATAGATTTCCGCGTTTTGTATATCGTTTAAAAATGGACGCTCAGCGCCTCCGCATTGTGCCCGACCGGTGGTCGTCGGGCGGCGGACTTCCGGCGGATCGGCAGCCTGATAACGGTGGAGGGATGCATCGTTACAAGATTTAAAAAAAAAAGAAGAAACCATAGAGGAGTTGCATTCTCGTTGTGCTGCACTATCTGACAGAACGGTTGAAGATGCCATTAAAAACCACCCAAAAGTGCAGCAAGAAGCTATAAGAGCTTGTTTGGCTGCCGCGAAATGTAAGGGTCCCAATGGAATACGATACACAAACGATTGGATATTAGAGTGTTTATTGATTCGTATTAAGAGTCGCAAAGCATATGAGCACTTGCGGAAACACCAGATTCTTCAACTACCGTCGATCGACACCCTGACTAAAGTACTTGAAGAACCTGAAGGCTTCGTACGGTTTCTGCTCACCAACTTTCCAGCTTTTACGGATGAAGGCTGCAGCCATGCAACCGGAAGATAGGCAAGGTTTATTTGGAACTTTACATGTATGAGTTTTTTCCTCATATATCTATCTGTTATCCGTTACCAATTTTTCCATTTATTCTAACAGGTACACTGGTGCTGGATGAGATGCAAGCGAAGGAGTTAATTTCGATCGAAAAGATATGTTGTTCAAGGGATTTACAGACTTGAACAAATATACGCCCGAAGATCAGAAAAATCAACGCCTTGATCACGCCTTAGTTTTTCTTTTTCAACCGTTTCGCGGCAAATGGATTCAGACAATGGGATCATTCTTGAGTAAAGGATGTGCCAACAGCAGAGTTCTGAATAAATTAATATTAGAGTGCGTTATTTTGATGGAAAATGCAGATTTTTATGTCGATGTCGTGACTACAAACGGAGCCTCATGGAATCGTTCCATGTGGAAATTGTTCGGTATCGAAGGATAAAATAGTTGTTGCAGGCATCCTTACTCAGTCGATGTCGATTCACCATTACGAAAGTTATGGTTTTGCTCCGACTTTTCGCATTTGATTAAGCTTTTAAGAAACCTCATTATGTCTATAGCTGCGATATAGGTAATTTCCAATTTTATTATTTTCATAATAAGGTTACTATTCTCATCGCTTTTGAAATAATTTAGACGACTGTTATTTTTAGACTCCTGACGGTATTGTGAGAAAGAGACATTTTGAGGTAGTTTTAGATCTTGATGGAGGAAAAAAAAGTTTCGGATTTAAAAATGCCCACAAATTGACCCACCATCACCTCAATCCAAAGTTTTATCAAAAAATGAACGTTGCTATGGCTTTTCAGGTAAACCTTCAAACTACAACCTTTGGTTCTCAACATGATGTTTAAAAATACTAATATAGAATGTGAATTCTTCTTAGGTATTCTCACTGGAAGTTGCTACCGTAATAGATCTATATAAAGAAAAAGATGAAAGACTGAAAGATTCCGGGCCGACCATAGCGTTTATCAAACGGATTAACAAAGTCATTGTGGCAATGACCTCTCGCAGTCCTATTGAAGCATTAAAACCGGATAGCGAAAGTTCTAAGGTAGGTAATGCTTTTATTGTTCAATTTCGATCTGAAAATAGAAATAGAAAAAAAAATAATATCTTTGTTTACAATTTCCCCATTCAGACTATAAGTGACTTTCAGGAGTATTTGGAGGAATGGCACGACAAAGCTTTGGAAAATGATTGGAAGTTCTTGTCCCCTGGGACATATCAGGGATTTCAATTGACTTTGAAAAGCACAATTGGAGTCACGACGTATTTGACAGAAAATTGTGGATACGAATATCTGATGACTTTACGTCTGAATCAAGATGCTCTAGAGGTAAGCGACTCTGAAAATTGTTGAATTCATCACAACTAAACTAAATTTTTGATAGAATGCTTCAGTATTTTTTTTTCAGAGTATGTTCGGTATGTACCGCGATGCCAGTGGGTCAAGTGGTCACTCGGATCCTCTGCTGTTCATTCAAATATACAGATTGATGAGCTTTTATTCACTCGTTAAACCACCGAAAGGATCGAACGTCGAAGGAAGTGAGATGTTTGACACACTGCTTGATTCCAAGGATGTTGATTTGAAAGCAAAAACAAATTAATTAGAATGGAGAAACACTTTGGAAAAAATCATCAAACAAGGAGAAAGTCACTCCAGAGAATATGATTTAAGAGATGCTCACGATTATAATGTACAGAGCGCAAATGAGTACGCCCAAGCATACTTCTCTGGGTTTGTTGCTCACAAACTAAAAGATTGGACGTCTTTCTCAGAGTGTCTTTCGTCGGCGTGTAAGAGTGAAGGGGATTGTGAGAAAGACAGGAGAATAAAGTTACTCACCAACGGGTACTTAAAGTTCCCGTCGGACACTTTATTCAATCTCTTGATCGCTATTGAAAGAGCAATCCTCAAAACAATTGGTGGCGAAGAGCTGAATTGCTATTCTTTCCAGCACATAGCAGAGAATATCCTCGCCGAGAGTTTCCCGTTCGTCGGATGTGAAGAACATAAGGGAGCGTTGACAAAAAGGGTGATTCACTATTATACATTAAGCAGAGCACACATTCTCAGCAAAACTTATAATAAAATATATGATGAAAAGAAACTGGAGATGCAGAAACATCGAAAACAATCGAAACTTGGTGGAGGATCTGGAAAAAATAATAAGGACGAGTGTTCGATAGATAAAAGACTAAATAAAAGTTATGTCGTTAAAAAATAAATATCATTAGCGAATTGACCTCCGGAGTCAAATTTGACGCTTGAGGCGACGAGCAATTAGACTGTGCATTTTTCAAAGCACTTGAGCGAGAATCCGAGTCAACGTGTAGCATCGAATGATGCTTCTTGTGACAAACCCGACAAGAATATTTACTTTTGCATTCATGTGCGGAATGCCTTGCGCTCAAACAATTGAAACAACGTTTTGTCTTGCTCACGAACGCAGGACATACATTAATGAAGTGTCGAGATGGACACAGCGAGCACGGCGATTGTGCGTTAGCGGATGCGGTTGCGACATGAATTCGCGAGGCTGCGATTGGTTTTAGACCGGTTTTAACGGCTGACTCGGGGGCGGCTGCCCTTAACGCGCGAGTGCAAGACTCAATAAATTTGCTTAAAGTTTCGTGAGACTGCGGGGCATCTTTATTGCTGATACTTAGTTCCCAAGCTTTGCGCGTTACCGGATCTAATTTTTGAACAACGATGTGAACGACAATATCTTCCCAGAGTTCCTCCGGTTTTCGATTGAGGGCTTTCAATGATGCCATTGCGATATTCACTTTGTCGTTTAGAGTCTGCAACAGTGTAGCCGGAAACAGGTCCCGCGGCTCACGGCTCAGCAATAGGAGGGGATAACGCACTCAAGCGCGAACCGCGTACGTGTGCGCTCTGCGCTTCGGCTAGCTTCGGAGAGTAGAGAAGAACAGACATATATTTTCCGTCTTCTTCTCACTTTCTACCGAGCTGGCAACGATGGTTGCGTTCCGATATTCACTGCCAGTACTGAAAATCTATAGTGCACGTGACGTAGACTATAGATTTTCAGTACTGGCAGTGAATATCGGAACGCAACCATCGTTGCCAGCTCGGTAGAAAGTGAGAAGAAGACGGAAAACATATGTCTGTTCTTCTCTACTCTCCGAAGCTAGCCGAAGCGCAGAGCGCACACGTACGCGGTTCGCGCTTGTGTGCGTTATCCCCTCCATTGCTGAGCCGTGAGCCGCGGGACCTGTTTCCGGCTACACTGGTCCTAACCGGTAGGCAAGAGGCCCGCGGAGAGGGGGAGGGGAACCGCGGCGAAACCGATAGGCGAGGAGTCCGCGGAGAGGGAGAGGGGGACCGCGTCCTAACCAATAGGCGAGGGGTCCGCGGAGAGGGGAAGGGGAACCGCGGCGAAACCGATAGGCGAGGGGTCCGCGGGGAAGAGGGAACGCACGCGTCCGCGAGTAGGTGTGAGAGAGATAAC